GCACTGCCATCTGCAGGAAATAAGAGGAAGAGTCAGATACTGTGGGCCCCTGGTGAGAGCTCTGGCGAGCTCCTTGAAAACAAGGTTCACAGAGATCTTCCAAGCAGTGAAGATGCCAGGATGCGAGCCAGCTGAAGGAAGAGGTCCCACCAAATTTCCTTTCACGACTGCCTACTTCATAGCATCTGTGTTGGACCCATCGTTTGGTTTCCAGTGGCTAAAACATGATGTGCAGCTGGACAGTGATGACAAAGATCAGCTAATGACTCAGATCATTGGTGAGACATGTTCACTTGTTATATATGTATGCAGGCTCTAACTTATACTAGCCATTATTAATTATAGTTATATGTGTACATGAATGTCTAGAAGTGGTTTATCTGTTTGTAGATATTGGGGTGTGTGTAGCCAAAATAAGAATACTCAATCCTTATGGAAAGAATTACCCAATTATAAGGCCATTTTTACACATTAGCCTCTTCAAGTAAAACAAATTAACATAATCTATAAATGGTATCACAAAGAAAATAATAAGATCAGTAGCAGATTTATTCACAAAAGTATACCCTCTCATTTCAGATTGTATCAAGGCAGAGGGTGAGAAGCAAATGATCTCAACAGCAGACACAGCAACAGGACCAGAACAAGGTGATGTTCCAGTGTCTCCTCCTGCTCCTGAAGCTCCTCAGAAGAAGCTGAGAATGTTCTCCCACTACAGCAAGACTCCCTCCTCCACCAACAGTCGGTCTGTTCAGGCTCAGCTGACTGCATACCCTCGACTTGATCGACAACCAGGCCTCAGACCCATGCTTCAAGTTTTGGCAACAAAATAAATCCCAGTTCCCTGTCCTCTATCAGGTTGCCACACAGGTATTCTCCATCCCTGCTTCCAGTGCACCCATTGAAAGGGTATTCAGTCATGGAGGCATTTTTATGAGGCCTCACCGTGCAAGGTTGAGTTGTTCGATGTTGTCAAATCTGATGCTTTTAAAATGCAACAAGGATGTTTAAGTGTGTGTGCCTGAGTGGGTGCTCATCTGCTCCTGACGCTAGCAGCTAAAAACATATTGTTATGCCAGACTAAAGTTCCCTGCCAGACTAGAGTGGCACAGTGACGCATCCTAAAACCCGGAAGTAAGCTGCGCATGGGTTCCTTCGACAAAGAAGCAATATAATTTCTCCATAGGATTTTGGAAAATAGCTCGAAATAAGGTCTGTGGTTGACACACATTTAAGAGACAGATCACGTTTTGGATAATCTCCATGTGATCTGTCTCTTAAATGTGTCTCAACCACAGACCTTATTTCGAGCTATTTTCCAAAATCCTATGGAGAAAATGCATTGCTTCTTTGACGAAGGAACCGGAAGAAGTTTACTTCCGGGTTTTAGGACGCGTCACTGTGGCACTCTATTGGAATTGGCCTCATTCGGCTCTGCTGGTGTTGTTTGTGGTTTTCTGTACACCTGTAAGATGCTTTTTAAGTATTCTAAATGCATAATTTCAACTGGGTGTCTGTCCAATAGGGCCACATTATGGTAGGAGAGGGGACCCCATCACTTCACTAACATAGAGAGGAATTGGTTCTATGACTTTGTAATTCGAGCCAGATTCAAATTGGAAATTGAACGAAAATGTTACTTATATTGCGTAGAAAGCCCTGCATGCTTTCTCATGTTCTATTGTTCTTAATAATGTATTTTCAGTTTCTGTGGGTTTTCAAACCATTAAATAAGTTCAATTGTGACATTGTGTCATTGTGTTTAATGTATACCATTTTCATTTGTAAAGCAGCTCTTTGAAGATGCCAGAACGGAGCACTGGAGGCAATATTGGAACTGGACTCAACCTTGATGATGATAATAATAATAATTATTATTATTATTATTAGTAATAAGCTTTATATTTGTATAGCACCTTTTTTAATACAACAATTGTAGCCACACTCGCTTCACAGCAGTTCAATAGACACATTAGTATACCATGACAGGATAAAAGCAATGTAGAGGAGCTACAGCTACATTTCAACACATATATCCACTAAGATTAATACATGAAGACTTGTGACTCGGACTTGACTTGGACTCTTCTTGGGTGACTCGGACTTGGACTCGGACTCGACTACGACTCTCCCTAGGTGACTCGGACTTGGACTCGGACTCGAAGAGTGGGGACTCGAGAGTGACTTGGACTCGTGAATTGGTGACTTGACTACAACACTGCGTCAACCCTCACGGGGTGAAAACAGTTTTTCCGGTCTCGAAGTTTTCATAATAAAACCGGAAGTATTCCCCTCACAGTCAAATGACTACACAGTGATATCTGCAGTACTCATCCACTAAAAAACATCAGTTTATCCTTGTTAATTACACAACATTGATTGGTTTAAATTGTGTACAATGTTTTGTGTTTTTAATCTTCGATTCGGAGAAACAAATAGTTTTTTCGGAGTTTAGAAACTACAGAGTTTCCGAAGACACTACACTACCCAGAATCCTCAGCTATCATTTGGGACTACAACATCCGCTTTGCTTGACAAACCCCGTGATTAGTCCTCAAGCTCTGTGATTGGATGTTGGAGTGGCAGTGCGACAAGGTTAGGCCGAGCGTCAAACAGCTCTTTGAAATGGAATGTAACCACGGCAGACTATCCAAAACTGGACTCAGCCCCCCCCCCCCAGAACTACACATGCTGGCTATTGTGTTTCGCAACATGTTCTATGGCACGTCTCTACTGGGAATTGTAGTTTTAAAAGACGTTTTCGTATCTCCCATAATTAGAAGTTGCCAGTATTAAACTGTGCTCATCCCTGGAGGTTTAGGGGATAGGAAACACTCAAATTTAAAACATATAATTAATGAATGGGTGAAAATTGCTTGTGTCCATAATGGGCAGCATTAATATACCCACATGACAGCTAAGGTCAGAAGAGCTTTATTAAACAGCTGGTCTTATGTCTGTGACCCCTCCTGTTGTTCATTGATAAGCCTGAAACATGCACTTGTCAAGGTTCAGAGGCACATTTTGCAAATATGGCAGTAGCCATCGATCATCTTAAGATAAGATAAGATAAGATATACTTTATTGATCCCAAGTTGGGAAATGTTTTTGTTACAGCAGCATACTACTTTGTTCTACTCCACTACAATTCAGAGGTTAACCTGGTATTTTTACTCCACTACATTTATTTGAGTTACTTTGCAGATTCTGATTAATGATGTGAAATATAAACAACCCTTAAATCAGACTTTAGTTACACCTGAGTCAAATTCAGGGAAGGTGATTGTCAAGTGCCAAAATAAACTATGCAATATATTAGACGTTACCCCAAAGTGTTTTTCTTATTCAAAAGAAGACCTTAACTTAAAGTATTCTTTAATGTTTAAATAAAGCCTTATTAGTTTGTCTGTTTTGCACCTCCTCCTGTTAATATCTTTGGACGTCCTGCACTAGCTTTTTTATTGAAGAGATCACTACAGTATCTTCTTGATATTTTCTATTCTTTCTATCATTGACCTTCTACTTTCCCCCTATGTTGTATGTAGGCTACTCTTAATATCTAAATGTTTTCATCAAATATAACATATTCAACAACAAAATGCAATAACGTGCTTTAACCACTAGGCGGTGCGGGTTAAAAAAACAGTGGTCTAGTTCAGTGATTCTCAAATGGGGGTACGCGGACCCCTAGGGGTACGTTGGGGTACTGCAGGGGGATAAACAAAACAAAATGGTTTGAGGAAAATATTCCTAGAACTACCAAGGGGGTCCTCATATAAACATGTCAAATGTGTGTATTGTATTTTATAGTTTTTCATAATATATCATTTTGTTCACTGGTTTGTTAAACATATATTACTTCAATTGAAAAACTCCTTGGAAAAATCTGTTTACATTTTTTTTCGTTGTGTTCTTTTTTTTCATGCATAAAGATGAAAATATCCTTAGTTTGTTGTAATTCATGCATGAAGTAGTTAATAAATCACACACTGATGGAACATCACTATATTGTAATTATTTATATAGGCTTTTTCTATCAAAAATGTTTGGGGTCGGTCAGGGGGTACTTGGCTGAGAAAATATTTCAAAGGGGGTACATTACTGAAAAAAGTTTGAGAAGCACTGTTCTAGTTAATAAAACATAATAATATCAAACATAATAATACTATTAACTTTATCGTGAAATTAAAACAGAACGGTAAAGAAAAATACAGTTTCAGTCTCTCGATTTGATTTCATATCGCATAAACACCATATCCCAACGTGCACTGCGGCTAAAACATCCAATCACCGAGCTTCAACAATATATCTGAGGATTATGGGTAGGTAGATGTTTTAGCCTATCAAAACCTCTGAAAAATGAAATGTGTCTCTCAGAATCGAAAGGGAAAAACCTATGGGAAAAACGCAAAAGCATTGTACACAATTTAAACAAATTAATGTTGTGTAATTAAGGATTAACTGATATTTTTAGTGGATGAGTACTGCAGATATAGCTTTAAAATAATTTGACAGTGAGGGGATTACGGTTTTATTAGGAAAACTTCGAGACCGGAAATACTGTTTTCCCCCTGTGAGGGTTGACGCTAACTTTACATGGACGCTGCCGCATATACACGTTCTCCTGAGACCTCAAATCATCTTCGTAATATCTATCAAACTATAGATCCTACACATCCACTGGACCTGGATTCTGAAAGTACAATATACACTTCTCGCTAGAAATCTAATCAAAAAGCATTTTAATGGCCAAACTATCCTACAATTTAGGATTTTCCAGAGAGGGTTATTTGTGAATATACGACCCTCCGTAGCGTTTGCAATCAACGGGAGCACTAGAGGTCTAAAACTTTCAAACGTGATTATAGGTCGTAATAAGCGCTTGAACAATCGACCTATTTGGTCGTATGAGTTGGAAGACTTGTTGTTTCTATGGTAATCTTTTTGTACATAGGCCTATTAGGAGTGCTCCATATTAAAATTCATCTTTATTTTACCAGATCACCAATGCCTGGGCAAAAGCAGAACATGTGACCAGCAGCAGGAGGGGAACCCGGAGTTCACCTGGAGCATAGTGGCTGCAGGGGACAAGAAAAGCGATAAGAAGGCAGGAAGCCCCCAGGGCTGGGAGGAAGGTAAGAACGAAGGTATCACCTCCCCCCAATTGCAGGGGAATTTCATTTTTTAACAAAACTTTTTAATATTCCCATACTTTGGTATTCTCTGCACATGTTGAACATTCCACATCATCCATTACTTTCCTATGCCTTTTATTTTTTTTAATGGAATTATTTGTAGTGTTGTGCATTATGGGTAACCACTTGGTTTCTTTTATACAATAATGTTAATGGAGAAACGGTCTCTAAAACACTTGGAAATGTTTCGCAATAGTGCTATTGAGAAATTACTTTTCACAGATTTCTCAGGTAAAGAGCTGAATCTACTTTACTGAGCCAGTAGTCTGCGACATCTCACCTTCACATCTTCTATATCCTCCGGCATCATTCATTTTCATACCTGGGAATATGAGAAGACAGTTTCTGTCTTGTTATCTCCTGACCTGAGCTAATGGTGAAATGGAGGGAGACAGAGGGGTCTATTTATTTCCTTAAATGTTTTTCATGAGTCATGAGTCCGAGAGCAGATGGGTGAAGTGCTAGATTAAATTGGAAAAAGTGAAATGTAGTGACTGGTAAGGGAGAGCAGTTGCTGTGAATGGACTGCAGAAATGATTTATGTTTGTCTTGTGTATCTACTTTAAGTTGTAAATGAGGACAGAGGGAGTGTGTATGCATGTGTTTGTTGGCTTGGCTGAGAGGCTAAGGCGTCACCAGCATGCAAAAAACAAAAACATGTCATTTAATTTCGATCTGTAATCATGATTGATTAACATTATTATGTTACATGTTGATTACAGTGTGTTAACAAGTAGATGTATACACTCACTGGCCACTTTGTTAGGTACACCCGTTCAACTGCTCGTTAATGCAAATATCTATTTAGCCAATCACATGGCAGCAACTCAATGCATTTAGGCATGTAGACATGGTGAAGACGACCTGGTGAAATTCAAACAGAGCATCAGAATGGGCAAGGATGGAGATGTATTACTTTGAACGTGGCATGGCTGTTGATGCCAGATGGGCTGGTCTGAGTATTTCAGAAACTGCTGATCTACTGGGATTTTCACGCACAACCATCTCTAGGGTTTACAGAGAATGTTGCGAAAGAAAGGAAAATATCCAGTGAGCAGCATTTGCTGGGGGGAAAAGGCCTTGTTGATGCCAGAGGGCAGAGGAGAATGTCCAGTCTGGTTAAAGATGATAGAAAGGCAACAGTAACTCAAATAACCACTAGTTGCATAAGACCATCTCTGAGCGCACAACACGTGGAACCTTGAAACAGATGGGCTACAGCAGCAGAAGACCACACCGGGTGCTTCTCCTGTCAGATAAGAACAGAAAACTGAGGCTACAATTTGCACGTGCTCGCCAAAATTGGAAATTAGAAGATTGGACAAATGTTGCCTGGTCTGATGAGTCATGATTTCTGCTGCAACATTCGGACGGTAGGGTTAGAATTTGGTGTAAACAACACGAAAGCATGGATCCATCCTGCTTTGTAACAAAGGTTCAGTTGTCTACTTACACTATTCCAAAAGATTCGGACAATATTCAAACCAAGAGACATTTGCCATTTTAATCACAATGGTCTGTTTTTTCTAGTTGCCATCAATCCGGGGCTAACTGACTTTGTGGTTGTCTGCTAAAAGTTGACTATTTTTCCTGCTTTGAGACACATTTTTAGGACACACTTTCACAATCATACACATTTGTTTATATCTTTTAAAAGAATAAGGAATTTAAGTCATTGAATGTCTGGATCTTATGCTCACAGAGAAACAAGCGGATCAAATGTTAGTGGTAAGCTCTCTGCCCCTTTTTATCCTACGTTCAAGTTCATGCTGAGCATATTTCTCTATGAGCATGAGATGGGTATTTCAAAATACCTTTAAACAATGATAAAATAATTTTGAACCAGAGATACATGTTTCTCAACCGTGCCATTTTAATTATTTGATTGGTGTACAAATATTTTTTTCAATCACCCCTTTTTTTATAAAATAAATTAACAATTTCCGTACAAGGTAAGGCTTCGGTAAGGATCTATAAACTATTTAATATGAACATTAAATATAAATATATAAATATTTTCCAGGCAAAGTAAAACACCTTAAAACATTATTAATTAAACATTTATTTCTGTCCACCTAAACATACTATTATTGAGCTATTGTACAATTGCTTATCCCCAAATACCAGACGAATTATATTAAATATATATTTGTTTTGCACACATTAAAGATATTATCTATGAAACGACTGATTTAAGGGGACATCAGGCCTTTGCAGCCTTCCCCCTGACACTGTAACAGCCGTAGTCATGCATGTATATGTGCAAAATGAAAAAATAAGCCGACCATGATTGAAGGTTGGCAATGCGGAGTACAAAGGAAATATATGTGCATAATCATGTTCCAGCCCTCAGTTAGCCACAATACAGTTGGCATGTTTTGAATAATTGAGCTGGGCGAGCTGCTGTCTCCACACATTTCACTGGCGCATGCAATTTAAAAGGGATGGAATAAGCAATGAATACTTAATGGCTGTGATGTGTGGAATTGCTAGAGCTGTTTTCTACAGTATCTAACTCAACCACTTTAAGATGTTAAACTTTGAAGCTTTGTTACTGTAAATGGCAGTGCTTCTTTTATCCATTACATTACATTGCATTTAGCTGATGCTTTTATCCAAAGCGACTTACAATAAGTACATTCGACCAGGAAGACACAACCTTGAAGAAAACAGAATCATATAAGTACATCAGGTTTCATAGAGCCAAACATTTCAAGTGCTACTCAACTGGCTTTAGATAAGCCAGTCCTTTATTAGTATATAAGTGCTTCGTTAATAGTTCTATCGCTCTAAGTGGAGTCGAAAGAGATGAGTTTTCAGTCTGCGCCGGAAGGTGTGTAAGCTATCTGCTGTCCTGATGTCAATGGGGAGCTCATTCCACCATCTTGGAGCCAGGATAGCAAACCCACGTGTTTTTGCCGATGGGAACTTGGGTCCCCCTCGCAGCGAGGGTGCAGCGAGTCGTTTGGCTGATGCAGAGCGTAGTGCACGCGCTGGGGTGTACGGTTTAACCATGTCCTGGATGTAGGAAGGGCCAGATCCATTCGCAGCATGGTAAGCAAGTACCAGTGTCTTGAAGTGGATTCTAGCAGTTACCGGAAGCCAGTGAAGGGAGCGGAGGAGCGGAGTGGTGTGGGAGAATGTAGGAAGGTTGAAGACCAGACGAGCCGCTGCATTCTGGATGAGCTGCAGAGGTCGGATGGCACATGCAGGTAGACCAGCCAGGAGGGAGTTGCAGTAGTCTAGGCGTGAGATGACGAGAGCCTGGACCAGAACCTGAGTCGCTTTCTGTGTCAGCTGGGGACGTATCTTCCTGATGTTGTAAAGCGTGTATCTGCAGCAGCGGGTTGTAGCAGCTATGTTTGCAGTGAAGGACAGGTTGTTATCTAGGGTCACACCCAGATTCCTTGCAGTCTGAGTCGGGGAAACAACTGAGGTGCCGATGTTGATTGTTAGGTCAAGAGTGGGACAATCTTTTCCCGGAAGGAAGAGCAGCTCAGTCTTGTCAAGGTTCTTATCCGTACTGTAGATGCTGCTAGTTGAAGTTTTGCCCACACAAACGGACGGATCACCAAGGTAACCTTCATGTCCAGCCACTACAAACAAAGGCTTATCTCTTATGCTGTATGGTGGAACTACAAACATTTACCAGAACTGTACTGAAGTGCAATATTTATGTGTTGTACATCTATCCACTACCTCCACTGGCTTCCTGTCTCCCATTGCATCAACTACAAAATTCTGGTCCTCACCTATAAAGCCCTCCACCATCTGGCCCCCCCTTATCTCGCAAACCTTCTCACTCCTTATCAACCCCCACGGTCCCTCAGATCCACCGCAACCGGACTCCTATCCATTCCCACATCCACACTCTGCAGCTTTGGGGACAGAGCCTTCTCAGTGGCAGCTCCTAGGCTCTGGAATTCCCTCCCCCAAGATCTCCGTGACTCTGAGTCCCTCACAGTCTTTCAGTCCCGCCTCAAAGCACATCTTTTCAACTCTGTCTACCCATAAGCCCCCCCCACTCTCAATCAACTTCCTCTTGACTGCCTTTTTATTTTTTAATTTGACTATACTTACTTGTTTGCCTGTCCTTGTTTGTCTACCCTCCCTCATACTGTAAAGCGTCTTTGAGTTGTGAAAAGCGCTATATAAATAAAATGCATTATTATTATTATTATCCTACCAAATTTCCGATGCAAATATAATACTTTCACTACATTTATTCAATAACATAAGTTAGTTTGTTGTGTGTTTTTTTTTTCCTTAATACTCAGATTTAAACTTTTTAAAAGTTTGAATGGTGATAACCAATCAAAAATGCTGCGTGCTCCAAAGAGTTTTGCATTATTGCTTAACTGAGTCATGGTGAGGGCAGTAGGTTACTTGTCTCACAGTTTGAGCATACTATTTTTAGATTATCCATACACATTTATTATTAACAACTGAGTTGTTTAAAGAGGGAAAATATGGTATTGGATTGTTATCCACTATTAAAAAGTGATTTTATTTATCATGAGAATGAAGTCGCAATTTTGAGAATAAAGCTGAAACCTTAAGAATAACCTAATTATCCAAATGCAAAATAAATAAAAATCGTTCCTATTTTTTTCTTTGTATCTTATGTGTAAGATGCAGTGTAGCTTTTAATGCGATCATTCTCATGTCCTTGGCCATCAGTGGCATGTGACTGCAGCTCTCTGCTCCTCCCTCAGGCTGATGAGAGGGGGCGGTTATCCCCCTCAGTGCTCTGGATAAAGTAAATAATAAGAACAGCATGAGGCAACAGTCCCCTTAGCAAGGCAATTAGCATAAAAGACAATGCAATACACTCAGATCAAGGAAAATCAGAGCAGTAATTATGGATCTGTTTGACAAATTAACCCGTGAAGTGTTTTTCGGTGACGGCGGGCTAACACACTGTGACACTGCAACTGCTG